GAAGCCGGTGAGATCCAGGACATACAGAAGGATCAAGATCCATCACCATTAACCCCACCAAATGAAGAAACTGGCTTACAGCAAGGGGTGGAAACTGGCCCTGATCAGGGGGTGGATACGCATGATCTAGATGATCAACTGCTCAGTGAAGATCAGGCCCATGAAGAAGCCTATGAAGAAGCCAATGAAGAAGCCAATGGAGAACCTAATGAAGAACCCAATAGAGAGGTGGAAAATGAGCTAGAAAGACAGCTCCAGGCAGAACTGCTAGCACCAAGCAGAGAGATCTCCAGCAATATAGATGCCAGCAACATACTAAGTGGACGTCGAATACGCAAAGCAAAACAAGATGACGATTTTGCATATGCAACCACTATAGTACAGGGTATTGACGAAGAAGAGCCACCGGCTCTACTACATGCATTTGCAGCTGGTCTATACGCCGAGAAACCAAACGCTCGCCGCCATCGAGATGATCTCCCACCACCACCCAAGTACTGGAAGGATGTCATAAATCATCCTTTTCAGCAAGGTTTTCTCGCAGCAATGAAGAAAGAGATCCACTCTCTATCTGAAAAAGAGACATTCGAAGTCATTGAAAAGCCAAAGGATCGAGGGATACAAATCCTTCCCTTACTATGGGTTTTTGCATACAAATTCGACCAGGACGGTTACCTTTTGAAATTGAAGGCTCGAATCTGTGTTCGTGGGGATCTTGAGACGATTACCTATGAAGAAAAGAGAGCTGCTACGCTAGCAGCAAGAACAGCAAGAATGATCTTTGCACTAGTCGCTGCCTTTGACCTAGACCTCCGTCAGCGAGATGCTGTCACTGCATTTCTGAATAGCAAGCTAAGCCAAGAGAAACCGACGTATACGCAGATGCCAGAAGGGTTCCAGTCCCTAGGTAAATGCTGGAAGCTTCGTCGAGCATTGTACGGCTTACGGATCTCGCCACGTCTTTGGCAACAAGAAGCAGCTAGTGTACTCCGAAAACTAGGTCTGCAACAAGCACCAGAAGACCCTTGTGTCTTCGTCGGAGAAGGGCTAATAGTCTTCTTCTATGTGGATGATATCTTAATTGCTAGCCATGCAAATGCTAAGGCAAGAGCCATGCAATTGGAGCGAGATCTAGAAGCCCACTGGGAGCTGACAGATCATGGAGAAGCATCATGGTTTCTCAATATCCGAATCATTCGCGATAGGAAGCAGAAGAAGCTCTGGCTATGTCAAGATAGCTATATGACAAGCATTGCTACCCGCTACAATTTGACAGATCGACCACCTGTCTATACGCCACTACCAGTTGACGAATTGACGCCTTACCAAGGCGTAGCCACCCCGAAGGAGATCCTTCTCTATCAAAAGAAGGTTGGATCCGCAGGCTATGCCACCACTATCACTAGGCCAGATGCTGCAAAGGCCACCGCTCGACTAGCTCAGTTCTTGACGAATCCAGGGCCCCAGCACCACCAAGCAGCTGACCGGGTCATCAGTTACCTATATACTACCCGGAACCTAGCTATTGAATATAGTGCAGACGCAGTAAGCACTGGAATCGATTCCATACAGTTCGCAAGCGATGCTTCATACGGAGATCACCCAGATCGAAAGAGCTCTGCAGGCTACATCTGTCAAGCTTATGGTGGACCAGTTGACTGGAAAGCGAGCAAGCAACCCACCGTGACAACGTCAACCACTGAAGCAGAGCTGCTAGGCCTATCAGAGACAGGGAAGCAACTTCAATGGTGGCGTCGACTACTAAAAAGCCTCGGTTTTGAACCCTCCCACAATATGACGATCGACTGCGACAACGAGATAACGATCAGCCTACTTACTAGTGAGGACACTGCCTTCGAAACGAAGCTTCGGCATGTCGATATTCATCATCATTGGCTTCGGCAAGAGGTTAGAGAAGGACGCATAATGGTGCGATGGGTGCCGACGGCGAGCATGGTCGCAGATGGACTCACAAAGATGCTATCTCGCCAGAAGCATGAGAGCTTCCTAAGGATGCTCAGGATGGTGGACATAGGCTATCTAATGGCCTAGTCAATTAAACCATGGAGATCAATATGCCGATCTAACAAGTCCAGCAATCCCATACTGGGATAGCTGAGGGGGTGTGTCGGAGCATGACGACCGGCATACCGGGGGATTTATTAATCCTACACATTTTTGTAATTAATGTTATGTAATCATGGCTCCATATAAATTGTACCAAGAGCCGATACAGAAATACAGAGAGTTGAATACCACTGATTGGACCCCTACATTTACAATACAGACCAATCCGACAATCCCCCCCAAAATTGGGGTTTGACGCCTGACCCCTATACCTCTTCGTACACATCTGGCATAAAACAATTCTGACCTTCATACGCTAAAAGAGGATTTTTCAACGAGCACTTTACGTGCGAATCTAGTGTCACCGACTGTCTTCGTATAGAACTGGTGTAGCTAATCGTAGCGGATTACCCAATATCACCCGCTATCAATTGCAGTACGCGTCAACGGGAGCATCGGCTAGCAAGCCGTCATTTCACAATACAACGGACGTTAGTCTAACTCCGAGCCATCGGTTCTAGTCGTGGACTTACAGCATAGCCCATACCCTTACAGGGTATTGGAGGGCTACTACTAAGGTGAGGGGAAAGCAGAGGAAGACTCATGATTAATTAAGAACTAGCAAACCAGGGTTTATATATTCCGGGAAACCGTCCGAAGAAAGCTCAGTCTGCTAGCAAATATGCATCCATGGGATGCTCCATGGGGATCCCAACACAAGGTCGTGAAGAACATGGGTAATATCTTAGGAAGTGCATCGTTTCGGAGGCCGGTAGGCAATAATTCCTGTTTGATAACTCCTTATTCTATGGAGTTATCGAACTCTGATTACGAGTATATTGTACTGAGACATCTTCATTATGGTCTTCCTTAAGCCGATTATATTCGTTCCACTAATAGTTGGCGCCACATCGGAAGCCACCGGAAGTAGGGTGACCGTTTTTTTATGCCACAGGTTGTGCCTGCATGGTAGGAGTCTTTGTGAGATTTAGCTTCACCGTTGCAACTATCCGATAGGTCTAGTATAAAGTTGCAATGAAAAGATAACCATCTTTTTGATTATAGCAACCCTGCTCGAGGCTGCTCTTATTCCTATATACAGCTGTAGTTTTAAAGTCAAAGTACTCGTATTGTTTAGATCGACACGATTTAGGTTAACATTTGAACAACAAGCGAGTTTAGACTAGAAAATTGGATAAGCTTGTTATTAGAGTGGGAGAGTGAAGAATGATTACATGCTTGTATATAGTGCATTCATCTAGCAACTCTCGAAATTGCATCTCTAGCATTTAATTGATAATCTGGTGGTGGATTTTCACAATAGAATGTTCTTGAACCTGGCACTCCATTCCCCGGCATAAGGATAATAGTAGTTGTTAGCGTGCAAGATTTCGTCAGAATTTAAAAGATTGGCGAAGAAAGAAAATTAGCAAGACGAACAAAGAAGGTTGAATAGCCAAGCGCGGCTAATGGAACAGGCGCCTTTTCGTGATGCGTAAATCATGAAGAAATGGAATTCCATACTCTTAGCCCTTGGTGTTGTGAAAATCTTGGATATTAAAGCCCCCTTGACTTACGATTGACTTCTCCGTGAATGTCCAATCTTGAGGGTTTATTCTGCCACTTCTATCTCTGCCTGGTTTTCATATTTACGTTGCATTTTGTAATCAAATGCCCGTACTGATCAAAGTAGTCCAACATTCCATTAGGATAAAACGTGGTAAAGTGATTGAGCTTACTAGAACTCGACCCTCGTTTTCGAAAAGTACCTTTAAACGTGGGGGAGGAGGCGCAGTGACTTGACATACTCGAGCAATCCAAACTTCTATAGGCTAAATAACAAAGCAATCTGAAGCTGACATTGAATGCTGAGACAAAGGCGTCATGGGAAGGGAAGAGATTGAAAAGAAATTCTTGGCAACAGCATTGACCCAATAAGTCCTCGAATCATATACATCGATTTTATTCCAGCTAACAGTTATACGAGTCTTGGCGTTGGTCATTGATCAGATCGTGGCAGTCCCTCAGCCTCACAAGGAAACATGGGCTAGCCCTATATAGACAAGACCCAAACTATTTCAAGCAAGGGCCGCCGATACGATGCTGATAGTACTAGGGATGTCATAATAAGTGTTGAACTAAATATATTAAATTGCACACAGAGTGGTCTAGATTCTTTGTACTTCATGGATTCTAGAGTCGTGTACATGTGATATCGTTTTCTTGCGACCGCACTGCGAATTATGTTTGACAACCGTTTCAAATCCTTTGGAGGATGAAAGTCAAAAATTAAAATAAATCTATCAGACTCAAGTCTTTGTGAGACGCAGAACGTCTTTAAAAGGAACAAAGAGGCCCGAGGGGAAGAAGTGGTGGGGTGGCGGTGCATGGGGGATTCATCCATGCAAGCGTTGGCTTTTGCTGACCGTAGCAAATCTCGTACCACCTATTAGCATAGTTAGGGTTCCATTAATCCGAGCTGAAGAGAGCAGTGGATGTTTCTACATAGTGCTTAGAATGAGGTACAAGGGTCCGTGGGGAGACAGAAAGGTTTGCATCTGGAAGAGAGATACTGCACCTGTAAGAGTAAATATACCCTTTGCATGCGCGCTATGCGTTAGGTAAATGGCCAATTAGGGAGTTGATCTACATACGGACTACTAACCCAGTAACTACTGCAGGCGAGGTCACTCTTCCTATCACAAGAAGCCGTCAAAGGTCCATTGTGCAGTGTGCTCAGCCCAAAAGCATTACCAATACGACTCATCCTTGTCCAAGACCTAGCTTGGGTGTTTTGAATTCTTTGTCTTCTAACCCAGTCATCTTTTCTTACCCTCGCCCCCAGTCCCCATTTTCTCTTACTGTGGAAAATTCCAAATCACTAGCTTGCGGTGTGCATATTGTGTTGACGGACCGTCAGCCCTCCCCTGTACATGATGTTTGTGAGTCGATTAACCTGGCCACTGGTATGGCTAGCTTTGGCAACCATGACAGTGGCTGCCGGCTCTTCAACAGCTGCAACTGTCACCACCACGACCTCCTCATCGACCGGTATCAGCACCCACACAATCCAGGTGGGACCCAAGTCAGATCCGCATCAATTTGTTCCAGCCAATATAACGGCCAGTCCGGGCGATATTGTGGTCTTCGAATTTTACCCAACAAATCATTCTGTCGTGAAAGCAGATTATCTCGCTCCTTGTGTACCAGCAAACGGAAACATCTTTTACTCGGGGGCATTCGATGATTTCAATGAGCAGGATGGACAACTCGTCGGACCGGTGAGTTGAGAAGCAAGATAAAATCTTCAAAACCACGCGGCTAATATATGTCATGTAGCCCCCGACTTGGTCCTTGCGAGTCAACGATACCAAGGTATGCATATAGTCCGATGACATGCCCAAACCCTTGGACTGAAGCTAAAGATGGTTTGATGTAGCCCACATTCTTCTATTGCACTGCAATAGATTCATGTTTAAAAAATGGAATGGTCGGAGTGATCAACGAGGTATGACCCTCGGTTTCCCTCGAGCACGGATTCAGGCTGACTATTGAACCAACAGAACACAACCCAGACATGGGAAACGCAATACGCAAAAGCTCTGAAATACCCTTATATGCTGGTCCCAGGCCAGTCCATGCCCGCCGAAGGCGACGGCAGCGGTTCCAGCGGTGACGACACAAGCGGCAATGGTAGTAAGCATGGGCTCAGCTCGGGGGCCATCGCAGGTATCGTCGTTGCAGGCGTGGTCTTCGTAGCAATATTGGTAGCATTGTTCTTCGTTCTCGGCCGCAACCGCGTGTACTCGCAGTGGATGTCCTCGCAAGATGGGCGCACGGAACGAACCGCACGTTGGGCAATGTTCAACCATGGCGAGGGACACGGCAACGGGAAAAGTGAAGCGGGAAGCAGTAGTGTCCCTACCCACAGACCAACCCCTAGCGACATCACCGCCTTCTCTAGTCCGGACCCGAATGTACGCACCTTATCACCTGAGATAGGAGTTTCCTCCGGCCCCGGTTCCCCGTCAGCGCAGCAGGGCCACTGGAGCTGGAATGAACCTCCTCCACAGCCCCGTGTAAGCGCGATGGCCACAGAACTGGAGGGCCATCCTATTATCTGGGAGGCACCAGGCAGCACTCCAGGGCATCGTTCCTAGACATATGTCAAAACTTTTGAGATACGGATGGGATGGGGAGTGTCGTGTCGAGTCAAAGCCTCGGCGAGGTCTTTATATCTTTTGGGGGGTTGTGGTGTTGGCTTTCAATTGTTTTCCTTCCATGCGTGAATGGGTCTTTCTTTTATAGATGTGTATATTGATACCTGTGATTCCTTTCCCGTTATATTAATTCATTCTGATTTGTTGATGCTTGAATTCATGAATGGGTAAGCCGTACATCCGATTCTTCATCTCCCGTATTGCTGGCTCTTGTGGCCACCGTGTAGAAAAGAAGAGGGTAGGTGCTACGGGGTGTCGGAGGTACTAGATCGTGGCGTCGAAGAATCCAAAGCAAACCCAATCGAGATGGGGTGCATGAACTAGTAGATAAGCCCCTGGTGGTAGACAAAGCGATTAACCACCCAACGAAACACGCGCCGACGAAGTAAAAAGCGCGGAGAAACAAGACCTAGCCGCGGGATATGCACCAAGCGATATTCACGAGGTCGCCACCTTGGCTTTTTTTTTCAATGCTTTTTCCAACTCGGTGATATTGAATCTGTTCCTTCTTGATGTTTAACAATAGGTACCATGAGCGGTAAATGCTGCGGCTGTTGCTCATTTAAATCTGCTTGGCCTGGAGTAACTCAAAATTCATTCTTTCAACTAGATTGAACAAAGAGGAGGTTGAATTGTGCGACCTCCATGTAGGTAGTTGTTCAGTGGAAGGAATATCGACTCTGAATAGACGATAATCGTAATAAAACCGAGCATAACATAGTTACCACCGCATCAAAGGCTGTAAATTGCGTAAAGCATGTATAACACCTATCGTAATTACGGTATTATTGATTAGCTGACTTTCCCGTCCGCCGAAAATTATTTCCCAAGTGAATTTCACCGTCATACGTATCATGTCCACCCCATCAAAACGTCCGGCTTTGGGAATTTCGGGGACCCAAAAACAAGCTCTTCGAGTTTGGGCACAAAGTCAAACCCCCCGTCCCTCGCAATCCCAATGTTCTGCTTGGTTTGAACGAACCTATGGACGGAGCCTCTCCCAATCGACCATCTCAACTATTCTCTCCAGTAAGTTCGACCACCTCGATGCTGGTCCGGCATCCACTTTAAGACGCCAACTGGCACCACAATGGCCCCTCTTGGAGACACCACTTTATGAATGGCTTGCAAGCCAAGAATCCACACCCACGGCCGATGTTATTATTACCAGAGCACGTGAAATCTGGAATCAAATTCCAGAATACCAGACCCTGCCAATCCCTCACTTTAGCAATGGGTGGTTGAATAGATTTAAGAAACGATACGCCACCCAGGTCCATGATCGCCAGGATGGCGTGCCCCTACCCCTACCCCAAGCTGGTCGCAAGGAAATGAAGGCAATGAAAACGCTATGTGGTGAATTTCCAGAAGACGATATTTACAACATGGACGAGACCGGCCTTTTCTGGCGAAAGCCACCATTCGGCGCTTCCCCGGCTGAGGATCAATTGACAACAAACAGGGAAAACTCCCGCGTCTGCCTCATGCTCTGTACAAACAGCACTGGGTCGGATCGCTTACCCCTTTGGTTCATCGGACATACGCATACGCCAGAGGCGCTTCGCGAGGCAAATCTTAAAGCCATGGACTGCCATTGGCGATATCATCGGCAGGCTTGGCTAACGCAATCGATCATGCAAGAGTGGCTGCTCTTCTTCTACGACCATGTGGGGGAGCGCAGAGTTTTACTTCTGTTAGACAATCATCCAGACCACCAAGCTGCCATTGAAGCTACGCCGCCGCCTCCGAATGTGCATGTTCAACTGTTTCCCACTCGAACTTGCACATCAAACGAGCAACAGCCGATCAACTTAGGAATTTCCCAGACTCTTAAACACTACTATCGTAGACAATGGCTTGCGTACATTGTGGCAGGTATGGAATTACCCCAAAATCCAGTCCACACGATGAGTCTTTATCATACCATATCCTGGACCACTCGGAGCTGGCGTCACGACGTTGCAAACGCGATTATTTACAGAGCCTTCCGGAAGAGTAGTTTGATGGACCCGCAGATTGAGTTCATCACTGCCCCCAAACCGCCGGACCTCACAACTCTCTACGAGACTGTCACACGGCACAATCCTGATGGTCGAACAGTCACCAGCCTTGAAAACTTCACTCATCCCGTGGACGAGGATTTTGAGGGTGTATTAAATGTTTCTGGGTTTATCGTTGAAGGTGAGCCTACTCTACAGCAACTGGACGACGCCATCGTGTCCATCCCGCCGGAGCAACTCGTACCTCCTGCTGTAGATGCAGTCATTGGGATACAAACAGCCATCCGATACTTGGTACACGAGTCTTGGGCCACTGCGAAGGACCTTCAAGCCCTCGAGAGAATAGAGAGAATGATAAATCGTATCGCTATTGAGGAGCGACGACAGGCGCAAATTGGTCATTTTGATTGAAGAAATTGACTAGGGATGGTGACAGTCATCGTGTCAATTGGTGCCTTCATCTTAGCATTAATCAACCTGAGCTATGTAATCGAACCTGAGAAGGGAGCACCTGATTTTCCTATACGGGTGAAAGCTCTTAGCGGAAGACAAATTACATTTCTATATATCCTGTTATTTGAAGCCTCAGATGTGGGTGAGCACCTTGTTCGTAGTATCATTATATGTCGAACCAGGAATATGGTTACCCTGGGTCCTAAATGGCAGCCTTGATTTTTGTCATGGTCTAGTGGTAAAATCGGCTATAGCATTTCCCACAGCTATGGGTATTGAAAATTCTGCAGAAATCAAACGGTTCTTGCATACAAAACCCCTAATCTATACGTGCTGTCAACGCCACGATGGCAGGTTCACCCCATGTGTGTTGGTACTAGGCCAAGGATAAGTGCGGAGTGCCTGGTAAAACAACTAATACGTTATGATTGTGTGATGGAGCATGGTGTAGAGGATATGTAGAACACAAGAGCCTAATACGAATGAAAATTGCCGAAAGTAATCGGATTGAACAAGAAAGGAAATACTATTCAAAATGATATCATATATAACACAGGCTCCATAACGGGGAATCGCTTTTGTATTTTAGACAGGGCCCGAGACCAAATAAAAAAGAAAACCAAGGAAAGATTTTACTCTAGAGCATCAGTGATACAACCCAGGCTGGCATCCTGGACGTTTCTGGCATATTTGCCCAGAGTACCACGCATGGTCAGACCAGTCTCGGGGAGATCGCCAGCGGCCTTGCGGGCTTCCCACTTCTCCTTGCGGTCGGCGAAGTCAGCATCGGAGAGGTCGACATCAAGAACGCGCTTCTCGGCATCGATGGTGATGACATCACCATCGTTGACAAGACCGATGGGACCACCGACGGCAGCCTCAGGGACAATGTGACCGATCAAGAAACCGTGAGAACCGCCGGAGAAACGACCGTCAGTGATAAGGGCACACGATTTACCGAGACCGTAACCCATGAGGGCACTGGAGGGCTTGAGCATTTCTATAAAAATTGTTAGCATTATGGTCAGCGATCATGTAGATTTGTTACACATACCAGGCATTCCAGGGCCACCCTTGGGACCGCAGTAGCGAATGACAACAACGGTCTTCTCCTCCTTCTTAATTTCTCCACGCTCCAGAGCAGCGATGAAGTCATCCTCACTATCGAACACACGGGCCTTTCCGGTGAAGGTCATACCCTCCTTACCGGTGATCTTGCCGACACTACCACCGGGGGCGAGAGAGCCACGGAGGATCTGAATGTGACCGGTCTCCTTGATGGGGTTGGAGAAGGGGCGGATGATCTTCTGGTCGTCGGGGAAGCCAGGGAGCTTCTCCAAGTTCTGAGCCATGGTCTCACCAGTAACGGTTATACCAGAGCCATCAATGAGACCCTCCTTGAGGAGCAGCTTCAGGAGTGCGGGGGTACCACCGACGGCGTGCAGATCGGCCATGACGTACTTGCCAGAGGGCTTGAGATCAGCCAGGAAGGGAATCCGGTCGGACACGGCCTGGAAGTCATCAATGGTGAGCTTGATGCCGACTGAGTCAGCGATGGCAATCAAGTGCAGCACAGCGTTGGTAGATCCACCGGTGATGTTGACAACAACCATGGCGTTCTCGAAGGCCTGACGAGTAAGAATATCGCGAGGGCGAATGTCCTCGGCGAGCAGCCTCTTAATGGCACCACCAGCTGCGAGACACTCAACGTACTTGGCCTGAGAGTTGGCCGGGTTGGAAGATGAGCCGGGAAGGGTCATACCCATGGTCTCAATGGCGGAAGCCATGGTGTTGGCAGTGTACATACCACCACAAGCACCCTCGCCGGGGCAGGCGTGGCGGATGACGTCAAAGCGCTGGGGCTCGGTGATCTCCTTGGTAAGGAACTGACCGTAGGCTTGGAAAGCAGACACAATATCGATATCGGCGTTGTTCTGGGTAGCAGCGCAGCCGGGCTTGATGGATCCACCGTACACCATCAGACTGGGGCGGTTGATACGGCCCATAGCCATCAGCACACCGGGCATGTTCTTGTCACAGCCGGGAATACTGATGTTGGCATCGTACCACTGTCCACCCATCACGGTCTCGACGGAATCGGCAATAAGGTCACGACTCTGTAGAGAGTAACGCATACCGGTGGTACCCATACTGATCGCATCACTGACACCGACGGTGTTGAACTGGAAGCCGATCAAGTCCTGTTCCTGGACACCCTGGCGGACCTTGTTGTTCAGGTCAAGCAGATGCATGTTGCAAGGGTTGCCGTTGAACCACACTGACGAAATTCCGACCTGGGCCTTGTTCATATCCTCTTCTTTCAAACCAACTGCGTAGAGCATTGCCTGGGAGGCACCCTGCGACTTGGGTTGGGTAATGGTACGGGAGACCTTGTTGAGGACCTTGTCATCCTGGAAACGAGGGAGAGTGGTTGAGAGAGTCCGACTAGAGAAGAAAAAAAGAAGTTAGTAACCAGAGAAGCCATTGACTCAAAATCCAATTGAATCAACTTACACAGGGTTAGCCCGGGACAAGCTCCGGAGAGCGGTGGGCACACGGGCCCGAGTCTGAGGAAACATGATGATATGGATGATATTCCAAAATCACCAAATAGAGCAATACAATTGAAAGTCTGGAGAAGAGAGGGGGACAAGAAATAAAAGGCGGAAGCTCAAGGGAGTGGGTCCGCCTCTCCGACAATCGCACCGGAGAAGCGCAGAAACTCCCCGCCAATTGGGGACGCGTCGTTGTCAGCCCGTTACTGGGGGAATGCGCACATTATTAAAAGCCCATGCATGCACTCGATCGTATTACGCTGTATGTGTAGCCTTTGGTCAACGGGGCATTCTAGCGCTCATTTGTAGACTAACATCCGACAAGTGTTGGGCCATCCCATAGATGCTTGTTTGCTAGTAGACTGAGTCTTTTTTGGGATGGTTTATCCAGGGTATATATACCCTGGCTTGCTAGAGCTGTATAGATCATAATTCTTCCTTTGCTTTTTCCCCTTCATAGTGGTAGCCCCTAACAATAAAACCAACGCAGGGGACGCGTGGGGGGAAATTGCAGAAATCATCGGGAATTACACCAAAGTACTGCTATACCTATCAACGTCAACTCATGATTTTTGTGCATGATATCTGACAGATTACAGGAACACGGAAGATTAGATATCTTCCTCGAATGGGGAATGAATCATGGCAATTACCAGTGTCTAAGCGATGGTCTACCATCCATTGGCAAGGCTCACATTCTTCCCCCAAACCCGAATGGCTCAGGCGGGAATTTGCATCCATGGATGGTTCTCAGCAGCGCGATGCTCCGCTCGCGTTGGGCCTCCTATACCGCGCGATTTTCCCGGAAACCGCTAGACTTCCAATCGGTGGCATACCTCTGATGTGGACACCAAGATGCTGATAAGACTCATCAAAACATACTTCGATCGAGCCCTAGATCAACCAGTCCCTGGCAAAACCACACAAAACATAAAATGCTTAAACAGCCAGAAGTTCGCACACTAAAAGAAAGGAAAATTCAAATCCCTAGAAATAAGTACAGTTCCTGCTTCTTTTCATCTGATAGCTGAATGTGTGTTTGATTCCATGCTCATTTATTGTGCATAGTATCTAGTAGCTTCTAGGTAGATCAAGAACCTTCTCGCTCACGTAATTCAAGATCATTTCTCGACTCACAGGCGCAATGCGAGGTACAAAACATTCGCGCATATATCGTTCCACGTCATACTCAACCGCATATCCCATACCACCATGTGCCAGAACTGCCCGCTCACACGCCGTGAAAGCAGCCTCCGCAGCCAAATACTTGGCACTGTTACACGCGACACCAATCTCATGGAAAGGCACTGATCCATCGTTGGTATCATAGAGACGTGCTGCGTGGTAGGTAGCCAGCTTCGCTGCCTCCAGCTTCATGAACGCATCAGCCAGGGGATGAGCCACACCCTGGTTCTGGCCAATTGGCCGCCCAAAGACCACCCGGTCCTTGGCGTACTGCGAGGCCTTTTCCAGAGCAGCATAACCAAGACCAAGTGCCTCACCGGCCAGAAGGCATCGCTCCGCGTTCATGCCGTGGAGGATAATCTTGAAGCCTTGGTTCTCCTGGCCAACTAACGTGTTCGCAGGAATCTTATAATTATCAAAGAAGACTTCGTTCGCATCCACAGAGCGTCCACCCATCTTCTTGATCTTGCGCAGATCCAAACCAGGGTTCTCACGGTCGATATCGATACAAAACAAGGAGAGACCCTCGCTGGTCTTCTTAACTTCTTCAAGAGGCGTGGTTCGAGCGAGGAGGATCATCTTTGACGCCACTTGCGCGCACGTAATCCAGATCTTCTGGCCGGTGACTGAATATCCGTCATCGGTCTTTTTAGCCAAGGTCGTGAGCTTCAGTGTCTCAAGGCCAGTGTTTGGCTCGGTGACACCAAAGCATGTGCGCCATGTACCATTGATAATATTTGGAATGGTAGTCTCCAGCTGCTCCTTGGTGCCGAACTTAGCCAATGGCTGTGTCGCATAAACGTTGGCGTGAATTGCCTGGGCACCGGCCATACCTGCGCCGGATTGTGTAATGGTCTGCATCATCATTGTAGCCTCCGAGATACCTGAAAGAAAGTTAGCGATCTGTATGAGGATAAAACGTCTACGCAACTGTACCTAGACCAGCGCCTCCGAGGGATTCGGGCAAAGCAATGCCAAGCCATCCATCCTTAGCCAACGCAGCATGGAATTCCTTTGGATCTTTTTCTTGTTGATCATGCTCCTGCCAATATGTATTCGGGAATTTCGAACAAATATGCGAGATTGCTTCACGGACTGTAAGCTGCTCTTCGGTAAAGCCAGTCATCCCCATAATGTCACGCCGGCCTGTGGTGGAGAATGCCGCGCGACCTTGAGGGAACATTCCAGTTTGGCATGAACCTCGCAACAGTGTAAGCCGTTGCGACCGTAGAGCATGTTGGAGTTGTGATCGATACATGGTTGCAATTATTTCTAATGTTTTGGAGAAGCTTCTCGGTTGGGTTGAATATATACCATCAACGCCGATCCCATATAGCCGACTCGGCATCTTGGCACTATCGAAGTGCTAACAGTATGTTCCCGTGTATATCCTGTTATTGCCTTACTAGCCTATATCTTCTTTATAACCGAGTCATTCATAGGAAAATATCTATTAGTTAGCAATCGATGAAGTGATTCGAGGATTTTATGACTGTTCTAATCCGAAACTTTCGGAGCCTTTCCTCTTTTACTCCAATGCGGGGGCGCGCCGTAGACTAGCGAACAGCCTTTTGTTAAATAGTCACTTGTCTAATATTGAAATAATTTGTTGATAGAAACAACAACAGCCTTGGAATTGAAGGAAATGTAGTATATGCAAGATAGAAATAACTAAGTAGCGAATCCCATGTCTTTGACAGTATCCGGGGGCTTAGTGCAACGCAGAGCTATAATAGATGGCACAGTGTTAAGTGAGAAGGAGAAATTTATTTTACTTGTTAATCAGAAAGGTCTGGCCGATCAACATAGCTGCATAACTAACCCATACACTAGGTCGAATATACTGGGGCTATATTATATAGTTACTGCTTCGACAAAGTCACGAGCAAACCATCGACTTGTAACTGTAATGTAGCAATGAATATAATCAATATCAAACACTCAACTTTCTGAACCGAACCAAGAGATTAGATGGTGGGCTGGTAGCAAATAACCCAGACGGACGGGGATCATAATCGTCTACCGGCTCAACATTGAATCGTGCCACTATCAAAGCAATCTGTCGTTTCATCTGAGCCAATGCTAACTCGCGTCCAACGCAGCTCCTCGTCCCGTAAGAGTACGAGAGCATACATATTGACGCAGGAGCACCGCCTAACGGATCTGGCCTAGGACTACCCGGGTCTGAGCGATCGATCCATCGTTCTGGAATAAACTTTGCTGCATCAGAGCCCCAGAGGTGATGAGCGTAGTTGATAGCTCGAGGACACATCCCAACGAAGGTGCCTTTTCGTATAGGTTGCTCTCCGATTATTGTATCGCGAATGGCTTTGCGAAATAACAGCGTGAATGCAGGATAAAGCCGGGTTGCTTCCATTACAACTGCATTGAGCACTGGTAATTTGTCATACTCCGCGTCTGCTTTTAGATTCCCTAGGCCATCACTGAATTGAGCCAGTTCTTTTCGTAGATCTTCTTGAGCTTCTGGATGGCGTGCAAGACAATATACTACCCAGGCGAGCGTGCTGCCAATGCTTTCGTATCTGTAAACATTAGAATTTCGATTCTTTAAGCAGTCCAGTAGTTAAAAAGACAAACTTACCCACCACCTATAATAACAACAAGCTGTGCAATGGTGTTTGTTTCGTCAGAGGGATTGGATCGACCAAGATTCTCAACGAAATCAAGCGGTTGCGCTTCGCTCTTTCCAGGCTGTCCCACCCGTTCTCGAAGAATCCGCCGACAGACATTGGCCAGAATATTATGTGCGTGGTCCATCTTGTTCGCAACAGGAAAGCGTAGTAGATCGAGAACCCATCGTGGCGCAATGTTATATAGCAAGAATAGCAATCTTTTATCTTTGCTGCTAGAGAACAGCATCTCATGTGCGTCGACAATTTCGTGATTCTTGCCAAGGATGGTTTCAAAATCGGTTCCCAGTGCAATGATGCCAGTGACATCTAGTGAAACCATTGCAGTTACTTTGGTAATGGAAACAACCGTAGAATTGGGTTTGGTGGTGTGTTTGGTATCATCGGTAGCGCAAAGTTCCGAAATGTGGTCGACGAATTGCATTGATTTGGCGAATAAGATAGGTTTTAGCTTGGTAATATTCGTTTGATTGAAAACCGGAAGATAATTTCTTCGGTTTCTCTTGTGCTCCTCCTGCTCTTGTGATACGAGTCCATGACCCCAGAAGCGGGTTGTATATCTTTTGAATGAACTCGCCTTCTCATAATCATATGCGCGGGTAGACAGAACCTCCGTTAGCGCCTCCGCGCTAGTTGGAACGATATAAGAGGACCCGAATAGCCCAAAGAAATGCAATAGGCCACCGGGATAGGCTTTTTCATTGATCCAGTGCGTGACATTGAAAGCCAAGGGCTCATCAAAAATATCGAACATATGATCATATAGCCAGTTGATAGACTGTATTTATTAGCATTTCATACCAAGGAAAACAGTGAAACAAACCTCCGGACCAGGTATGGTTTTGAAGGGACTGTAATGGCGTTTATAGAATGTTCTATAGCAGATCAATATCAAATTGACGACAATCCAGGAGCTTACTATCTCCCCAGATAGTAACAGTGTTGATCGAGGTTGAATTTCATAGAACCGCGTCAATAGCCACATTGCAGAAGCCCACAATGAAAATCTCGTAACGACACCAGACCTGTAGCCAGACATTGTTTAGTTGGATTGATGGGGAAAAAAAGCAAAAGAATATGTGAAAGGTATTGCGATGATTCCGGGATGGCTTTATCACTGCTGATGTATCCATCTGTGTTTAAATATATTTCATGCGTCAATTAGATTGATGAGATGATAGAATCGCCACCCTTGTAGGGTAATTGCGGGCGACGAAGTCACCAGGGACTTTGGTCCTATTAGCTATCACTGCCGGAAAAGAATTATCTAGTTACTATTCACTCTCATTCCATGGCTGAGGATTCGTGTCCCGGGGCGTTAGGGCCCCGGGGGTGAAATCTACTTACATGGTAGGTATAAAGGTACTAGGACTAGTAGTTATATAATTACACAACGTGCGTTGCGTAGGTCATTATACATACATAGTCCGGTACCCCCGGCCTTTACCCAGAACTTTAATCTTATTGCTTTGCTACCTAGGTAGGTACCTAGGTACATGGCTTTTAGACTGCCTGGTAGGTATCGGGCATTAATGACATCCAAACCAGTTTCCCCTCATCCGTGGATCTGATGTTGATGTGTCTCCCCTATTTCGGTAACGACTTTTAAGAACGATGTGATAATCTAATCTTGGTTGAACGTATTCTTCTTCTCCCCTACAGTCTGTTTGTGGGATCAATTTAGCAGGCTTGAATTCTCCAGTGTCTTGCTAGTATATAATAGCTCCAACGATATCAGTATCCAAGTGGGGCCACACCTCTCAAGCAGGCGAGACAGATGATACTATAGCGCTCTATAGTGCTACCCAAGTGCTGTTTTAATAGTTGAGCCGCAGCTGAACCCCCGTTATTGAAAATATAACAGCGAGGGTAACATTTATAATTTGGCCGTCTACACCTATAAATAAGATCAACTTGCAAGCTATAAATTGAAATATATTCTTATTTTGAAGCAAGGTACATGAAAACCACTCAGACTAAGTTTGGGGAGGTGATGTTTATCGTTCAACCACGTCCTGTTCAATCAATCCGTCGCTTCCATCCGGAGTCTGCTTTCCTCTCTCCAACAATTCGAATTTCCTAACGACTTGGAGCGTGGCATAATAACTGAAAGGCAAGGCGATGAACCACAGGCTGAGATTGATGCTCGCTGTCGCAATCAACGCTGTCGGCACAGCTTGAACGCCAAATCCAACTGCAACTGCAGCGGTCTCGATTCCCCGAAGCAGTGAACTGTATCGAATTTGATCGCCAGGCGAGTCCGACAAATTTCCAATACACCAATAAATATAATTTTCGACTAAGCCAAGGCTGATGCGTTCAAACAGATACAGGCCAAAGCCACGACCAAAGGTGCGTTGATTGCCCCAGTCCAACACGGGGTTGGTGTGTCGGTACTCGTTCTGAATAATGACCGCCCAGATCCAGGTTGCGCTGTTCATGAGTGCAATCACGATGAATGTGACAATGGCTCTATGTTTGCGATTTTTTAACCAAGGCAGATCCACCAACGACCCACCCAACCAAGTCGCTAGCGTTCCCACAACCGCAGACATGAAGCTTCCAAGTGCACGCGCACGAACCGTGAAATAGGTCGCGAGATATGTGCCAGGGTATGCCTGGATCCACCCGAAGTACCAAAACAACGGGACAAGTAGCAATATTGACCTACTCTTTGCTAGCCGCCACATCTCACGGAGCTCCACACGCCAGTGAATGCCACGGGGAGCCTCGATATGCGTTCCATCGTCTCTCTGAACTTTCTCTGGGTTTGACAAGAGGGGACCGATGACTAGCCCAAGGCACTGGATGGCGATGAAAGCAAGATACGTCTGGTACCCAACCTGGCCGCGCTGGTTCACTCTGTGATTGATTGCTAAAGAGACGGCACCACCAATGATGTTACCAAAATTGCGGAACGTAAACCACGTTGCAATATAGCGGCCACGCTTGTGTTGCTCTGGGTATCCTGTGGCGACGGCACCCTCAACACTCCAAAAGAAACCAGCACTGATGCCGCAAGTGACACAACCGAGATATACAAGCCATGTTGCCCCAGTGCGGTTGTTCAAGTACAACCCCGCTGCATACAGTGGGTATCCAAGTGACCCCAAAGTCAGGGTCCAGCGAAACCCGATCGCGTTTGTGATGAGTGGACCCGCGAAACAAGTCAATGTCATCAAGGCGTATAGTAGAGCATTGGCCGTGTTGACCAAATCTGGGCTCTGGGATCCCCCCACGCCCAAGCCATTCATTGCACTCCATATTCCTGGCGCACAAAATGCACATAATCCTACAACAAGGATTTGAAAAAGTGTACTGTAAAAAAACCTGGGACGGGGTGGTGGGTGCTCATCTTGGCTTTCCACGGTCGTTGACACATTGGCTTTGGCTTCGGGCTGTTCTAAGGTCGACATGATTATAGTGAGGGAGTGCAGATGAGTAAATCACCGCAGATTCTGTCCCTGTCATTTACAGGGCCTAGTAAGCTTATTTTATATGATCGGATGAACTTCACGTATACCCTGTTTATCGGGACGATGCCCAGACAAGCACGCAAAATTATAAGCGCATGGCATAATCGCGCCATCACTCGGCAATTGATGGTGAGACCACAATGGGCTTAAAAGGTGTCTTGTATCACGAATCATGTGAAGGAGATCCAATAATATCCCGCTATCTCGGCAGTCGTGAGGGGTCGTGCTCTCAACTACAAATGTACGGCATGCGCTTGACTGTCGTAGCTTGATCATCTACAGTCTCGCATTACATTGAGCAAACATGGCAACAGCCACCGAAGAGTTGCAAATCGAGAAGCTTCGCTTGGAGAGCTCTATTATCACATTTGAATCCTTCGACCTCCCAGCTTCCAATCAACGTATCCTGGGGCCTCCGCACCCCAAGAACACAGTTATCCCGCTTGCACTGCGACCCGCCAAGATCGACGCCAAGGCAACTCTCGACGATGTGGTAGAGACAATCAAGACTCTCCAAGAAAAAGACGGCAGTTTAACCAAGAAACTCGCGAGGCATGGCACGCTGCTATTCCGCAACCTACCAATCCACAGTGCAGAAGACTTCAGCAAATTCGCGCATGCCTTTGGATACAAGCCCCACGAGATTATTGGCATTGTAGTTGATAGACCACTTCTTGCGCCAAATGTTGCGCCCGCCAACGAAGCGCCAAAGGAGGTCCTGATATACAGCCACAATGAGTCGCCGCAAGTCCCACATGCGCCCGAGTATATCTTTTTCTATGGCCACCATGCGCCCTCGAAGGGCGGAGAATCACCGATATCTTCTTCGTTAGAATTGTTCAACCGCGCACAGCAAGAGATCCCAGAATTTATTGCCGAACTCACGGAGAAGGGAATTCTGAGTAAAGTAACCTACAAAGTGGAGAAGCAGTACGAAGGGGGATCCACACTGAAGCAGGCCTTTGGCAAGGAGATTCAAGATGGTGACGATGAAGATACCAAGCGCCGAAAGATCGAGGCTCAGATTGCCCGCTACGGCAGAGGGGACCATACGACATGGGAGTGGACTGATGATGGTCTTGTCTTGACCCACCGGCTACCTGTCATCCGAACGCAGCCCGGTACGAACCTCCCGACTCTCTTCACTGGGTTGGCGGCATATTGGAAACGTACGCAGTTCGATGCCGAGGCACGCAAGAAGGTCACACAACAGCTCTTTGGAGATGGGACTCCTATTCCTGAAAAGTATCTTGCGCACTTGGCGAAGATTACGGATGAGATTCGGGTTCTGCATCGTTGGCAGGAAGGTGATGTGTTGGTTTATGATAACATCATTGCGCAGCATGGCAGAGAGCCGTGGCAAGGCGAGCAATCTGATCGAGTGATTTTGGCAAGTCTATTCGATGGTGAAAGCGTTCCAGGAGCTTACGGATTTGGGGACTGGGCGCAGGTTGTACAAGCACTCGATTGAAACCCTCTGTTAGTAAGGATATACAGTACCAGATGGTACATATGATCCTGAGACGTTTGGATTTGGAGCCGATGTCTCTATGGAACTACGTGTGCTCTGCTTATGTCGGTGTCCGCAAGTCATGTTTCTTTTGATAGATGCAGTGAATTATGTTGGTCGAAGGTTAGGCTCACAGCCCATATATATATCACTGCATATAAGATTACAAAACCAGTATCATGTTATTTTTTTGGGGTATCTACAACTCGTAATGCCACCAAAATGTGTTTTCACTGCCCAGTTCTAAATGGTTAACTATCTGAGATTTGGATAAAGGGCCTATGCCCCGTGATCCTGCATAGCCACATCTTGATCGCGATGCCAAGCCACGGGTGGCCGAGCTCATCGGGCGCACACCCCAAACAGCCTAACAACGTCGTCACCTCTTCTGGTCGCCATGGGATCCTCGTACTCCACAACATCCGACGATGCCAGATCTATCCGACATGAAGATTCAGCCTCCCCTGAAGAAAACCAAATGTACTACCCAAGACACTCAGCAGATGCCGTTGAGAGCTTCAACATCCTCCGACAAAAGCTGCCATCTGAACTCGTCCTGGAGATTCTAGAATTCGCAGAGTATTGGGTGTTATCTGCTGTCCACAGGGAAGACAGCCAGGATTATAATGAAAATGACTGTCGTGATCGAATCCCATATTTGACATCTGAGCCCATCCAAGGCGAGCGATTTCCCGTCCAAAAGATCAAAATCAACATCTGGAGCCATGATCAAGGATGGAGCAGTTATCGCGAAGATCATGGCACATT